GTCAGACTGAACTGAAACGAGTAAACTGGTCTTTATCCTTTTAAAGATGGAGGGATAACGACCATGCTAAAGAGCTTCTTACGGGTACGAGTAGAATTTTCTATTAGGTCGCCTGCGTCTGGAATATCGTTGTTACCTCGTTATAACCCTCGAAATTTGAATTTGTTCACCAACTTGTTATTCACTCACTTCACGCGCTCTGTACCATTGACAATTGTCGACCGTGTCAAAGAAGATGAAAGTCAAAAGTGAAACAGCAAAAGATGATTTCGTTATTTCGAAGAAACAATTAAAGAAATGGACCTCGAGCGGAAAGTTGCCTCTTCGGTTAAATGTTACAACAAGTATTCTATCATTTATTAACTTTGTACCATCGAAGAAGAGCATTTTTAACAGACTGCGCGCGAATCGTTACGCAGTTTCATATTTCTGCGAAAAAATACTTAAACATTTATGCTTGAACGTCGCAACAAATATTTCACTTTCGATATTTTGTAAAAAGTTTCGCAACATCGCGCGCATATTTCCCAGAGAGATATCTGGCGTGCTTTTTCATTTAGAATTCGTCCAGCAGATAGTCAAATTGTAGAGTGTGAGCAGACGATGCAAAAGGGAATGCGAATAGAAAGGGCGAGTTAAACGAAAGCAGCGTTTCGTTTTTTGCATGTAAATGATTTTATTTCCCTGCTACGTGAAGTAAACTCGAAACGCGGTACTTCGCAAAAAATAAATATTTGCGCCGCGAGCTATCTCGATCAAAGCGTGTCACGAACAACAAACCAGATATACAGTTCAAGTTTTGTTTGAAAAAAAAAAAAAGAGAGAAAAAACAAGACTTTCGCACGGTGAACCTAACACTTTCTTACTTGTTTTTGAGCCCAAATGGAAATTCTCGAACGGATATTTTCGACGGATATTTGGATCGAAATATTTGGCTTTCGCGTTCGATCTTTCCTCGTAAGTAAATAGAGCATCTGCGAAAAATAAAGCATCGCGAAAGAGAAAGAAAAAGGAAAAACAGCTAAAAAAAAACGCAACGAAGAAACAAGAAGAACGGTAAGATTAAACTCTTGAAATACTTTCGTTACGTGCGACAGATAAACGAGAACGTGATCGGCAAACAAAAAGTTGCGTTCACGGGGTTGCCCTCGAGCCGCGTATGGGAGCGCATATGGTGTACGCGCGAACACGAACGAACACGGGAAGAAATTTACCGCGAGGACATATAAATATCGAGGGGAAAATTTCAGATATCCGGTGTTTGGCACCCGCGAGATATCGAACGGTGCGGCGCGTGTGTTCGCAGCTTGCAGCTATTTTTATTCATTACTCCCGGTCTGTCAGCAGGTGTATTTGAGCGAAGGGGAACAAGATGGGGCGAGAGAATGAATCTCCAGCCCGTATCTGGCCCGTTTCAAATATCGATCGAAATGTAACACGCCACGGAATCTATTAACGTTTCCCTGGCAATATCGTATTCTCGATCTTAAAGCGCTGATTGAATTCCACGCGGCCCGAGTAACTGGAACGTGTCTGCATTTCACCATGGATCATTGCTTATAATAATTCCCCCTTCCCCGGCAACATGAAGTCGAAGGGAATTAATTTCACTTTCTTTCTTCTAATACATTTCTCAATCCTGCAATCAGTCAGTGTGTAATCGATGTTTGCATTAATCCTCTAAAAGCAAAACCTTATTTACTCGCTAATAGACCGTGGATTTAATATATTGCATACGCTATACGTAATGTACATGTAATAATACGCAAACTATGGAAGATACCGTAATCGATCATTCTTCTTGAAATTAAAAAAATATATCTCAAGCTTAAACGCGAAACACGAGAATGTCACTAATAGTTTTCGATTTATCTCGAAACATTGTTACTAAATTGTGAGTGCACGATCGGATTAAACGTTTATGTTGAACGACAGAAGCAATCTTCTTCAACTAATCGCGATCATTCGGCATTTTTATACAATAACTTTTTTTTCTAACTTTCTGTAGAAATTGTACAGATATATATATATATATATATATAGACACAGGTGACTCTCGAGTTACACGGCGTTTGCGGAAGGTTGAATCTTTCACAAAAATTCGCAAATGGTGCGGGAGACGAAATTTGATAAATTTTACAAAACGGAAGAGTCACGTGGAAACGAGCTGAGCTTGACAACGACCAAACAGATTCATTCGCGTAGCAGGTGGTTCGGAGAGGAAGAATTGGATGCAAGATCCCGAGCAAGGTGAAAATAAAAAAAAAAAAAAAAAAAAAAAAA